CTTTAGGATATTCAGCATTTTCTTCTATTTATTTATTTCCAACCGACAATTCCACATGTACCGGTTTGATTGTTTGCTAAAACCCCTAAGATTGACAATAACTTGTCTATTAATTATGCTAATCACTATCAAACATAAGATTGGAAAATAATTAAATATTTATATATATGATTATAGATCAATTCTAGTATCAAATTTAAGTTAAGTGTATTTACTTACAAATACTAATTTATTAGATGTGAGGAAAAAAGAAAAGAAATAAAGAACATTGTGAAGAATTGTTATAATAACAAAAGTCAAATAGAAAAAGATATTAACAGGAATTTAAATAATTAACAAATTATTAAAAACAACCTACGTCCAACTGATTATTAATCTTCTTCATATATCACCTAACCTTTAATTTTAATGGTAACCGTAGGATAGAAATTGAGAATTTCATTAAGAGGGATATTTATTAAACAATCCTGCAAATCAAAGTAATATAATTTAAATAGTAAATTAATTTCAAGTTGTTAAAACTGTCTTATGATATTTGATAATAAAGATCTAAAAAACTTTCAATGAATTTATATTATTTAATACATTTTACAAACACTACACCAATATTGCAGAAGATCCATTGAATAAAACAATTTATTCATTGAGTTTATCCTTAGAATAATAATATATTGAATTAGTATTGTTTGTTAAAAATTTTCAATTTAATTTTGTCAGCCTGTATTCTATTCTTTAATAAAAATAATTCAACTTGTTTTCTTATTGTTGAAAGTGATATGTTATTACACATAAAGTTTGATAATAAGATATTCATTTACAGTTAATATCTATTATAAATTTGATAATTACAGTATTGATTTAAGCGAGACTTATTATTAATTTTGTAATTGTTGCAAGAATCTTTTCATAAATTTAATATATTAATCCTAAAAATATATGAGCATCTTAGATATTTGTGATATATATTAATTTTAAAATATTATTAATGGGCTGTTGCATGAAAGGGAAGGCTCATGTGGCAGCGAAGGTTCCATAAATGCAAGTCAGAGACAGACTAAGAAATTCGATACTCAACGTTCTCGAGTGGATGAAATGAAGTTTGAGGTGTTTGAGAAAACTATGTATGGAAACGAGGATAATTATTATGATTCAGATGAATTAACTTGCATTGATCGCAATTAACTATTAAGTCTTATTAAAAGTGAGCCAAAAAAGATTCGTTGGACTCCTGGCTAAGTAATTGGGTAAGGCTCTTTTGGAAGAGTAATAGAGGCTATGAATTTAGATACTGGAAAATTGATGGCCGTCAAATAAGTGATGGTAGGTATTCGAAATGAGGATCGCATTATGGCACTTGAGATCGAAATCGATTTACTTTCTTTGATCAAAGCACAAGAACATAGTTTCTTATTATGGAATGGAACGAACAGAGAAGACCCTGAATATCTTTCTGGAGAGAGTGGCAGGAGGATCCCTGAGTTCAATGCTCCAGAAATTCGGTTCATTTTAGGAATCCCTAATTAAAGTTTATATGCGTCAAATTTTGTAAGGGTTGGAATATTTGCATCAAAATGGCATTATGCATAGGGATATTAAGGGTGCAAATGTGCTAGTTGACAATCAGGGAGTTTGCAAATTGGCCGACTTTGGGAGTAGTAAGAAGATTGCATTAAATAGCGATAGCACTATATTTGGAACTCCTAATTTTATGGCTCCCGAGGTTGTACAATAATAGAAGTCTGGGAGGAAAGCAGATATTTGGAGTCTGGGATGTACCATGATTGAATTGGCAACAGGTAAGCCTCCATGGCATGAGATAACAAACTAAATTTGCGGTTATGATCAGGATAGGAAAAGGCGAGATACCACAAATTCCAGAAGGGTTTTCGGAAGAAGCCAAAAGCTTTGTTTCGCATTGTTTAGAGTATTTAAGGGTGAAAATATATTGTTAGGGTTGATGAAAGGAAGCGTTGGAATGCTACTAAATTATTAAAGCATCCGTTTCTGATCCAATAGAATAAGCTCGAAATTCCTTAGGGAAAAACTTCATTACGTAATACCCCTGGAAGTAAATCGAAGCAACAACAGCGGTCATTCAAATATCCAGAATAAGAAACCTCTCATTCTCCTGGTTAGGCGAAAGAGTTTGAATAACAACACTCAGACAACTTGTAGCCCATGAATGACAGTTCCTTTGTTCTCAAATAGAAAAGGTAGTAGGAATGATAAAATTCTTTATGTTTTTAATTAGTTTCATATTAATATATATTAACAAAAGAAACAATAAATAATTCCTATTATTTTATTTTAAGAATTCCTTTTAATAGCTAAGAATCTGAATTGATAAATAGATCTACGTATACTACATATCTATGCTATGCAAGTGATCAATATTTCCTGAAGGTTTAACTAATTCCTTGTTTTAAGAGAATATA